TGTTTTAAATATTAACATTTAGAGAAATAAAATATATAAACTAATAAAAATAAGTGGTATTGTGGTAGTAATTAAAGGGGTGTGGGGGGCAAAGCCCCCAACGAGTTAGTACTCAATAAATGTTCAGTTGGAACGCTGTTTTTTGAATTTCTATTTGAGTTCCCTTTTTTTCAATTTCCCAATTCGAGCACTGCGTAACAACCAATATTTGTTTTCAATCTTTCATATTTTACGCCCCTTGTTACCACAAGTGTAACTCTAAAAAAAAWTTACGTAGATATATGAAATTTTCAAAACATTTTGACTCGTGTTGAGCTATTTATAAGCATATAAAGTTTTTTTTATTGTGTTTTTAAATTTATACCAATAAAATGTATTCAATATATCAAAAAACTTAAAAATTAAAAATTACATACGTAATTTATCATAAGTTGTTGTTATTGGAAATTAAAAAAGTTGAAAATATTCAATGTATTTTTAAAAATTGATCATTAAAATTAAAATTTTTATTGCATAGGATTTTCTTTTAATTTCTCATGGAACGATTTTTTATTTGTTATGATTCAAAAATGAATTACTKKRAWWWACACCATGTCTACATAASAGTAAAATAAATTACTTAAATATCAATAATTTCATAAAATATATCTGCTTAATAATATTATAAGCTAACAGATCGTCAGAATCATTTTTTGTATGTTGCAATGATTTTATTTTTTTATCATTGAATTTAAATTTAACGCATCCATAGCAGTGATTCTCTAGCAGTGGCGTGCAGATCCMTTTTTCCATGTGGGGCAATGCTAATTTTTTTACACCYACCACCCACCTAAAACTAAAAGTTACAAATAATATATGTTTTATTAAGGGCCTCTATACAGTAATATGAAAAATTGAAAACACAATATTTATCAAATAAAAAAAACCTACACCCCCCCCGCTTTCAAGTGGGACCTAGGCCCCATTAGGCCATTTGTGTCTTGTCTGCACGCCACTGTTCTCTAGACACGCTTATTTTGYAGAAGAGCGTTGTATTTTCCTCAATTTTAAATTATGATTTATAGATCGTAAGTATACGTTAGAATACATTGTAATTTAAAAACTCATAAAGTCATTAAATGCTTTTAATTTTATAATTGGTAAACTTTCAATGACTTATTACAATATTGTAYATGTATGAATAAAAAGGACTACAAAAAAAACAGCACTTAAATATTGAAAAATTATAGAAATTAATGATATAATACTCACCTTTGAGTGTTTTTGCAACTTAAGTTCGATATACGAACAACCGGTGAGGACTTTCTGTTTTTTGTGTATGTAAATCGGCACGGGACCTTTTACGCTGAAGTCCAACGGCCTAGACATGGACGGACAGTACGACAGCGAGTATTTGAGTTTCGGTCTATGGTAGCAAAGACCAAAACACATTTAAATAATATTGAATAATAGTAATTAGTACAATATTACAGTACTTACCTAAATAATTAAATATTATGCTATTAACACTAATTAGTGTTAACACTACCAATATTAATAATGTTATTAT